GTGGGCTGGAGGCCGATGCCCCGGCTGGTTCCTCTGGGGGTCCGAGGAAACTCCCCCAGCTGACTGAGGGTCTTCAGCGGYGGGCCTGCAGAGCCGCAGTTTTCTCCTGTCGGTTTGTTTCCTAACAAACAATCAGAACCAGAGTTTCAGCTGCTGTCGTATTTATTTAGATTTCCACAAGTTCAAACCCAGAGAAGCTTTTAGTTTGTGCAGCCGAGGAAACTACAGCGCAGTAAAATMCCTGAGAACAGAAGAGACTTTATAAGACCAGGACCCTGAACCTCCTGAACCAGGACCCTGAACCAGGATCCTGAACTGGTCCTGAAACGTGACGTTTGTTCATTTCTGTGTTGTTTCAGCTGCAAACTTTGTTTCTAAACTTCTAAGATGAACATTGTCTGAATGCTTCGAAATGAAACTTTAATATCAATAAAAGATTTTTTTTATTAACATCTGCTTTTAGATTGGATCTCAAATGAAAACTAAAATAAAGTTTTGTTTTTTCTTTACTTGTGGTGCAAACTGACAGGAAAAGCTGCTTTTATTTTCTTAAAAAACTAATATCTGAAATATTGAAGAGAGTTAAGGTTATTTTAGTGATCAAACAGAACAACGACCTGAGAGCTGCTGCCCATCAGTCTGAGAAGGTCAAAGGTCATTTAGAGGTTCTACAGAGAAAGATTATTTCCTCCTAGCTAGTGTTGTTGTACTTGAGACCGGTCTCAAGACCACTTTTTGTTGGTCTTGTCTCAGACATTAAGGACTCAGAATTTTATTTCCAGACCACAACTGTGGAAATATCACTAAATATCCAGATTATTGTCCAGTTTATTAGTTAACATTCTTGCTTTCATTGGATTTAAAATGTAGCTATGATTCAAATCCAAACCTGACTCTTTGGTATTTGTGTATTTTTGTTACGATGTCACCCATCCCCTCCGTCCCTCGCAGGCAGCACTCCAGGAAAGTGAACCGTGGTTCTCTGGCAGTGGTAGAAGATGTCTGCAAAATATGAAGTAAAACAATTTGGCTACATAAACTATGTGTTTGTAAAACAACAACCAGGAGAAAGCATGAAGCAATTTGTAAATTCTGCAGAGTTAATGTTAACGTTAATCTGTCTCTGTAGCAAAACTCTTTCCTCTGCCTCACACAAACATTTTGTCATTATTAGCTCTAYATACTAGGTTAGCTACATTTGYACAGMAYACTCCATCTTTTAGGACACTAGTTTTTTTTCTTCCTGGTCATTTTGTCCAGGCCCTAAAAGTCTTGGTCTTGACTTGGTCTCGGGTTAGGTGATCTCGACTACAACATTACTCCCATCAGATTGACTTCGACGTCAGAGTGGGAAACATTTTTCAGATCCAAAGTGACTCACATCAGAACGAAGAGATTCTAGGTCTCAAACTGGAGGAGCTCCAGCAGGTCCCAGGAAGAACTGCAGAGACCTCAGTTCATAAGAACCTCTGGTACAGGTGGAGCAACGCTGAGTCTTCTGAGCGTTCTGTTAAAATTATGCAGAGCAGTGTTGTATAAAGTACCATAAAGTGATACTTGAGTAAAAGTACAAGTATCATCATAAAATTACTTTGGTAAAAGGTAGCGTCTCTAAGAATATTACTTGAGTAAAAGTCTTAAAGTATCTGATTTATTTTGTACTTAAGTGTCAAAAGTAAATTTCTGACATAAAATGTACTTAAGTGTTAAAGGTAAAAGTACTGAGTAAAAATGAGAGGTTAGTTTTTCCAAATATTTTTTTAAAGGCGTGCAGCTGTGATGGATTGTGTACAAACTAATATGTAAATGGTAAATATTTATACTTCTCCTCCAACCACAAATTCAAAAGCACAGTTTATCGGGATAGTTTTTTTTTTTTTACAATGACGAGCCAGAATTAAATACGAGTAACAACTTTTTTTTAAAGCAAGAAGTAGAAGTAAAAAGTTGGCTGRAAAAAATTGACTCAAGTACAGATTGCCAAAATTTTTACTTACCGGTAAGTACAGTAATTGTACTTTACAACTCTGATACATAGTAATTGTGTATATCCATAGGGACTTAATAAACTTTAATTATATATTAAATACATCTAGAAAACACAACAAATGAAAGGGGGATATATATTTAGGATAAATTTAAATTTGTGGATAATACTATTAATGTTTCATACAAGTCTTAACATTTCAGAAATTTCAGATATAATTTTAATTCAATTAAAAATGTTAAAGATGGGATGTTTGTAAGACTCTTTAATTTAAAAAAAAGCCAAACAAAAGATTAGATCAGGATACACAGTTCGAGTTTTTGTTCTTCAAAATACTCCAAATGTTACAATTCTTATAAATAAATTTTGGTTTGATTCATCTTTCCAAGTTATTCCAAAATAATTTGGTTTTGTTGCATTCATATRAATCATTGTTTCCATATAGTTTATTACAAAATGAGCATTTATTAGCAGACCTAATAAAAAGCAGCAACGACTTATATTTTAGTCTTACTTTGAAAGGAAAGGAAGTGAATGTGTTTTCATTTGCTGTCTTATTTTGAAAAAGTMAGACCGGAAGTGTGGTTGTTGGTGTCACGTGCGGTCTTGACGCCGGTGGAGAATCCCTTTAGCTCCTCTCCGCTGCTTTGCTTTATTTTTGCTGCCGTGGAGAAACAAGCTAATATGTGGAGCAGCGGGGAAYTGGGTCAACCCGTTCGGAACCAGGTCCAGGCCAGCTGAACGGCCCGGCTCGACTCGGTCGGTAAACAACATGACAGCACCGGAGGAGGTGATTTATGGTTGATCGTCGGGTCCTCGCGGCGTGTCGGACTGAGCTGCAGCCGCCGACGGACGCGGCTAGCCGGCGGCGGCTAACGGAGCGATGTCCTCGGACGGAACCGGAACCATCCGGAGCCGCATCAAGAACCTGCTGCGCTCCCCGTCCATTAAACTCAGGAGGAGCGGAACCCCGCGGAACAAACACGACCTCAGCAAAAAGGTGCGCATGCACGCGCGTCACGCACGCGCACGCACACACACACACACACACACACACACAGCATAACGGTAACCATGTTTCTGAGGTCCTGCTGGGTCAGTTTTTACTATATTTACACGTTTTACACGAATATTTAAAATATCACATTAGTAAATTATTTTACAATGATTGTTTTTATTAATAACATTAATATTACATGGTTATTACATGTTCTCAGGACCAACACTTGTTTTTAATTTATGTGTATCTGTGAGGTCCTTCAAACACAAAACACGTTTAACAAAACAGTTATTTTTATATTTATTAGTTGTAAATTAAATTAGGTGAATATCCTCAGATTTGTTTTTTTGCACACACTGTTTTGTTTTTCTATTCTCATGGGGACTTCGTATGGACCCCTGGGGTCCCCCTAACCCTATTCTAAACTAAGTTCACACACAAACCCCCCCCCCCTCCAACCCAAAACAACTTTTGGACTCCTGGGTTCTGGGCCCTATAAGGAGCAGTCGGTCCCTACAAGGTAGCAAACACAAAAGCACACACAGATATATGGGAAGCCTGCTGCCACATTTGTAAGGAACATGCATTTGTGGGGTGAGCAGTAGACGATGAGCCTCTGGTGCTGCCACTCAGCTGCAGCTATAAGATTTATTGGGCCTCATTCAAGAACCGTTGGTACGAACAGATTTGTTCTTAAGTTGTGTGTACCAGTGATTTTAACTGATCGTTCACCTGTTTTCTCGTATTCTAAGATTATTTTCAGATACGAACAAAATTCACAAG